ACAGTCCAACGACGACTTGGAGTTATGGCTGTTTAGCACTGAGCAGTACTATTCTAACTACAGCGAGGAGATGGAGGCTGAGTCGTCCGACTTTGTCGATACTACTTTTGGTAACTTGGGCCCGGCAGCTCAGACGTGGTACCGCGACTTTAAGATTTCTCTTGGTGACCAGCCAGCTACGTGGACCATATTCAAGCAAAGAATTCGTGAGCGCTTCCGAGAGGCAGACTTCCAGCATAAGGTGCTGTCGAGGTTGCATAACCTTCGATGGAGTGGGTCCCAGCAGGCGTACACAGCGAAATCCCTGCACTTGCTGTCTCAACTCGACTGCGAGCTGCCTGAAGTGGTCAAACGTTGGTATTACCAACAGAAACTTCGCTCTGACACTAGCGCTTTTGTGTCACAAAATGTACCGTCGACACTTAAAAAAGTCATCGAGCTAGCTCAACGCTTCGAAGATTCTCGAGCGACAATCCCTGGACCAGGTGTTCAGAAGGATCAGCGGGGCGATAAACCTCAAAGCAAGCCACAATCTCAGAAGAAGAACCCTGTAGCGTCATCCAAGCCCCATCAGTCTCTTGATACGACTGGGAGGAATGGTGACAGGCCTAGTTGTGCGTATTGCGAAAAACCAGGTCATACCGAGGCTGTCTGCTTCAAGAAGAAGGCGGATGCCAAGGTGTTGACTTCAAAAAACGCTTAGGCCCGGTGGGTTGGCATCCCATTGGGCCAAGCAGTCAGTCCGTGGTAGCCGTCCACGTTCTGACAGCCCCCTACCGAAACAGCTTCATTACCATGCGGATGACGCTGTTCTCTCGACTAAAGAGAAAGTGTACGGCTATTTATCTCAAAGAGGTCGAATTGCTGACGCTGCTATATCAATTTTCATTGATAGTGGCGCGTCATTCAATGCGATCGACGCCCAGGTCGCTTCAAGCCTCGGCTTACCGATCAAGGCGTCTTCGAAACCTCTGAATGTGAAACTGGGCAGCGGACAGCGTGTGAGTATTCCCCGACGGACAACTCGAATTACTCTTTCGATGTGTGGCTTTCCGTTGTACGATTCCGACATTTTCGTTATGGACATTCCAGAAGGTAAGAATGTACTTCACGGATTCCCTTGGCTTGAAAAGGTAAATCCAGACATCGATTGGTCCACTAGAACTGTACGTCCCCGTGGAGCCAACACTGGTCTAACTTTGCATCGCTGTCCTCGAGTTCAAGCTGGTGTTTTAGTTGCTGGTGGTCGGCGAAAGAAGAATTTGTCACGACATATCGAGGATCAGGATGAAAAACTACTCTTCTACGCCAAGCACGACTTCATCTCTGAATTGGGTAACACTAACGTGATATCACCTCGCTAATTCCGGCGAATGCAGCGTGAAGAATCATCGTTCTGCTTTGCAATTCGCATTACAGACGATCAGTCCGATAAGGCTTCTCGGCAGCTACAGTAAGGATGGGATCAATTACGTGGACGCCCTGAAGAAGCCGTCTTAAGGAAGTACAAGGACACAGTATTTCGTGTGGAGCTACCCAATGTCGCTCCACAGCGGACTATTGATGTTGAAGCAGAAGTTGAATTGGATGACAAAGTACCTGTGGCTCGGAAGCAGTTTCTGTAACGGGGTTACACGGGTTTACACCTGGTGTATTCCACACA